GGGATTATGGCTCGGAACCGTTCACAAGCTGACTATTTTATATATTAGGAGTGGAGGATTTGATTTGATTAGATGTGAATTCGTCGTGTAGCTACTATAGTTGTAGTCAGCTTGATTCACCCGGTCTTAAGGTGAGCATGAGCACCATCCCGATCATAGATACACTTTCGTCGCACGAGCAACTGTCTGGTTACCAATTTGTAGGCTTCAAAAATACAGACCAGATGAGTGGTGCGTGCGGGTGCGCTGTTTGTGATCGTCTTATCAAAGTTTGTGCTGAAAATTTGTTGACTCGTATAAAAATTACTTTTCTTTTAATTAGGGTTTTGGTACCTGACAGTCTGGTTAAACAACTCGAATGGAAAACCATGCGCACCGCAATAATCGGCGGCTATCGTACGTTTAACAACATCCAAATCGAACTGTGCTTGCAGGCATGGCATTATCTATCTTCCATCCTTCGTGTAGGTGTCACGCAGTCGACTGTGCAGTAGTGTATAACACGACGACAGCGATTACATGTGTGAATTCGGTTCGCGCCAAGTCATCTGTCTCCCAGCCTTCGCGTCATTGTGTGGTCATCAGCATCATTACAATCATGACTTTAGCCTCGATACCGGGGAGAAGTATGTGAATAGAGAGTCGGGGTGCGGGTGGGAGTGTCCAAAAGTAACGGGGAGTGACTGAACATCACCAGGTTGGCAACATTCACATAGCAGCCCCAACATTCTGGACACAAAATTGTTTCTGTTTTCACGCACACGCACAAACCCACGAACTGCCCTGTAAATAGTGGAATGCACCACACGAGGAGCCCAGTGAAATAAACATCCTCGTCATTGCACGCATGCACTGCCACCACCACCAATGCCACTGCGGGGACTCTGACAAAATCAGCACAGCTGTGTGCGTGCGTGTGTGTGTGTGTGTATTCGGTTATTTCGTCATTCACGTTCGCCCAGGGGCTAATCGTCATCTATGCGGTCATATTTTAATTGTGCACGTGCGTGTGCGTGTATGTGTTGCTAGTCTTAGTAGCCGCAGCAGCTGCTGTGGCGAGTTAACCAACCAAGCGTGTGCCCTCCTCTGTACGTGGTCGGGGGTTGAGGTGGAGCCCGAGCAATTCGTTGTTTCATCGCCCTGCCTGTTTCTGCCCTCAGATGTCATGTGAACTACATGGGATGGAAGCATGTTTTTTGTCAGGTATCCCCATCAACCCCTGCTCTCATGACTGCACTCTAACCCCACCCCACCCCACCACACAACACCATACACGCACACTCAAACATGATTCAACTCACAGGTCAGATAGAACCGCGTAACTTCAACCGGGCAACTTCTTCATTTTTCTACTTTCCATCCACCAGACCAATGCAATGGTGAACAAGGCAGTTGTCACAGCTGGAAGTTGGAGCTTGTCGGGACATACATTGTCGAAAAAAGTTACTGTAGCCTCGGTCTCCTATCGAATACATTTGTTTTCCCAGCGGTCTTTGTGTCTGTGGTTTCCTCGACTTTTTGCTTACTCACGAGACAACTGGTTTCCCAACCGAGTTTGGTCCTATTCAACCGTTTTTGTTGTTACCGAATAATTTTATCGTACCCCCTCCCCTTCTCCCAGTTTTATACACCTGGAATGCCATAGAAACATTGTGACATAAGTGAAACAATCCTGATACTCGGTGAGCAAAGCAGCGATTGGCCACATATATGTGCCTTACAAATTCAATCAATATTTGTATGATATAACCTCTGAAATGTATTCTAAACCTAAGAAACTGTCTTGGGCGATGTCTTAACTCACTACACTATGCACAAAGAAATATAAATTAGCTCAAATCGTTTTTTTGCCGTGTTCACGAAGATATCGTTAAACTTCAATGTGGGCAAAAGCGGATACTCCGGGATACAAAGAGAGCTGTTGGATCAAAATCCACTGAATAGCTATCGCTAGGGAAAATATATGAATATCGATCACGATCTTAATGCCATTGATGCTTCTCTTGTCTCCAATCTTGGACTCATCTCAGCATGGGGTACTATCAACCATGTACGTTTTAATGCCTCCAAAACTTCTCTCCTTCGTTCCACAAATTCCTTCTCCTTCCGGGGGTTTATCTATAAATTCTTCTCTCTGTTGGTCCCCTTTTATTTCTACGATGTCCTCTCGAGCTGCAGCCAGAGTCATTTTTCGATTGTGCGCAAAGCGTTTGAATACACACGAGCACCTTCTCTTTTTATACAAAGCCCAAATCCTCCGGATGCTCGAATACAACAATCACGTATGGAGTGGAGTGTCATACTCCGTTCTTTCTCTCCTCAACTGCGTTCACCTTAAGGTCATCCGGCTGATCGACAAACCGTCTTTAACTTCCAACCTGCAGTCACTTTCCCATCGCCGGGGTTGCTTCCTTATTTCTTCTCTGTCGTTACCATTTTAGTTTATACTTTTCTGAAATCGCTTTAGCGTTTCCCCTACCGTTGTCCTTTTCTCGTTCTCAGATGTCGAAACTCTTCTTCCAATCGTATTTTCTCTCCCCGGACTGCGAAATTGTGAAACACTCTTCCCGTCTCCGTGTTTCGAAGCACTTATAATCTTACTCTTTTCAAAAGCAGGATTAACAAATGTTCCCGACATATCTAGCCTGTTACAGTATGCCAATGACTATTGGAGCTTACTTCTTTTGCTGTAAATCACTTTGCGTAATAAAAATACTTGAGTTGATAATTCTGGACGGTTTCTGTGTAACAATTAGGCCATTTAGAAGTTCAGACCTGTTGTATATACACAACTGACGAGCTCCAATAAGAGCGAAACTCGAATCTATAGTACTTCCTGAATGTGTCTGGTTGATCGAATGAACTGAGGACCGAGTGTGAGTAATGTTCACTCCGAAGAAGTGAAGACTTTGTGCAGTGGTGGTGGGATTCGAACACGTGTTCTTCTGGTCAATGATGCCCGTATGATGAATAAACCGGAGAGTAAAGGTAATTTAATTTTTTCACTGGAGTTGAGACACATGATGCTTTGACTTTTGCGTGAACGTTAATCGATAAAATTAACCAAGCTGGCGAATTTTCCAATAGAATTGACAGCATAAATTTACTACAAAACGGCGAATATGCTTTCCTTTAAAAAAATAAGGACATTAAGAGTGATTAGGGTCACGTATAGCTCTTATTTTTGGTGGGATGGTTTGGGTAAATTTTTCACTCAAGTGCACTAAGAAAAGCAAGTGACTTGATGGTGCTAAGAAAAATAACCGAATGCGTGGAGTTCTGGTATCCAGCTAGCATGAATATCACCGTTGTCAGTTTGATACGGATGGAATAGTCATCTGTTTTTTCTTCTGGAGAGATATAGGCAAACGGTTGATGAAAAGAACCGGAAATCAGGGTTTTGCCCGCAGATTAATACCAGCTTGTGAGTCATTTAGGGCCATATATCTTCCTGATTGACGTCATAGAGGCAAAACGTGCCCCGGAGTCTGAGACACATGATTCAACACGGTATCATATGGAGGTAGCTAGCTAGCCCAGTGAACTCACGGTGGCCACATGATCAGCAGATATTTTATCTAACGTTTCTCACACCCACCCGGACAACAGTGATTGACTATAGTTCTGGGTACACGGGCGGGGTGAAAGACTGCGATTAGAATTTGACCTTTGTTCTGCGAAATCCTGCACGGCTATGATTGATCTCTTCATGACTGTTAGTTCGTGGTGTTTACACTGTGAGAGGAGAAGGTGACCTGGGTTTGACAAGTAAAAGTCTGCTTGAAACGCATCGCTTCCTCGTGTTCACAAATTAGCTAGCAATTTGGTTCATAGTCCCAAGAACTTCACCGGACAACCCCAAAATCCCCGCAGTTCATCAGCTAGAAGGATCACTTTGATTTAGTCATCGTCAACACATGCCAATCAAGTATACCATTTTTCTCATCATGAAATCGGGTCATGAAACTGAACAATTTTCTTTCTAGTCTATTTATAAACATTTTATCAACAGAATGATGAAAATCTTTTTAAAACGTGTAATCAAAATTCCATTTTCTGAAAAGTACCTCCCCCACCGCGGTCATCTTGTGTGTCTGATGATATAGGTGATGCATTTAGAAAAAAACAAAAACAAATGATGAGGGCTAAAACTATTTCAATCCCATACACTGATCCTCTCTCCTTGGGTCATTTCCTCCCCCGCTCTCATCGTGTATCAGACTACATTCTTTGGGAGTTGGGATAGCACAGTCTATTCCAGTTGGATAACGCCTGTTTGATCATTCGCTCATTATTCATGCCTGCCTGCCTACCTGCCTGTCTTCTTCCACTGATTTTCATCTTTTATCCTATTCCTCACAGTAACCAACGGAGAAATTGCAACCGTTATTCAGTTGTTTTTTCTGAGTGACACGTGTAATTGATACACGAGGTGGCCAAAGTTGTGCCCAATTGTTATCGAATGTTTTCCCCACGACGGAAGTGGCCGCTGTCTATCGTCAACCTAGTCCAGGTCCAGTGCCCACTTTGGTCCCCGTAGTTAGGTTTCTGTTTTACCGATTGTCACTCAGATCAACTGTTCGAATCCATACACACACCAAAGCACAATGTTAAAGTCGGTCATGGCCAAACGGATTGTGCGCAGCAGTTTGGAAAGTTTTTCACAAAAGCATTTACAATTCGAAATAGATCGATCACAATGTTCGCGGCACTCGTTTTCCGAAATGCAGGAGTTGTTTTGGTTCATGATCGCTTGCTATTATATACCGTTATCATAAATCATCATGGTGACTTTCTGTAAGTAGTAGTAGTAGTAGTAGTAGTAGTAACTACATGATAACTACTGTTTATCACACCAAGGTGTGCCATCTCTTGGCAATCGATATGCACATTTTGTCTCTAGATGTTCTGTCATGCTAAACTTACTTTCAATTTTCTCTTAATTTCAGAATCCCAATTTGTTCCTGTCGCTCAATCATCGTCCAACCCAAATCGGAATCATGCTTCTGCACTGGACTACTACTCTATTTGGCTTGGTCAATATACTGCCCGTGGTTTGGCCAGTTCAAGAGACAACAAAGACATCTTCACTGCCGAAAAAGCCCATCATTTATGAGGCTCCAGTGGACACATTCTCTGCTGACGGGGTACTAGAATTTACCTGTGCTGCTGAAGGACATCCGAAACCCAGCATCACATGGTTCGATGCTCTGACTGGACAAAAAGTGATTGATCGTGTGCCGTCCAGTGGATCGACTACTGGGATTCATGTGAATCAACATTACGGTCGACTGATGGTTTCCAATCCGATTCGGAACAAAATTTACTCCTTCTATTGCAATGCATCTAATACTGCCGGTTGGACCATAAGTCAGCCCCCAGTAAAAGGAGGTTTGGCCTACTTGGAAACTGCTTTTCGACAAAACCCCATCGATAAGACAGTGCATCAAGGTGATCGCGTTCTGTTGGAATGCGTTCCCCCAGTCGGTTTGCCGGAACCTAAGGTGGCCTGGTTNCACAAAACGGATTTCCCCTGCCGTCAAATCAGAGCAACGACGCTGTGCTTTCTCATGCACGATTCATTGAACCGGGACATTTACAAATCTCGACAGCCTCTCTTGCGGATTCCGGTGAGTATGTGTGCGTGGCAGAAAATGTGGCAAGTCGGAAACAATCACCTCCCGCCAGATTATCGGTCAAACCTCGGGCTCGATTTGTGGAAACCCCGACAGACATACGAGTCGGAAAGGGTGAAAACGCAAAATTTAAATGTCGTGTAGAAGGCAATCAAATGGTCAAATGGAGTCGTGGCCCCGGTGAGGGTCTCATTGACCCCGGTCGAATTGAACTTGCCGATGGTTATCTGTTGTTGAAAAATGTCCAACTGTCTGATGCTGGCGTGTATGTGTGCACCGCTCCCGGCTCAATCGCTGCCGATGCTGTGCTGACCGTCGAGACTCCACCCACATTTTCACGCACTCCGGATGATCTGACAGTGATGGTGGGTCAAACAGCTCGCTTTTACTGCGTCACTACCGGCTATCCAAGACCATCCATCTATTGGGAATTGCCGGATAAAACTCCCATTTTCCCAAGTGAGGACACAACCGGATCGAGCACACACAACCGATTCTATTTGCACAAAGAAGGCCCGTTGGAGATTCGTAATGTTCAAGAAAGTGATGCCGGAAAGTATCAGTGTACTGCTCATTCTTCCATTGATCGTGTGCATTCCAGTGCAATGCTGCATGTTATACCCAGGTCGAAGCTATCATCAGAAGACAGTGCGGAAGACTTATCGATATTGGGTCGCAGTCGGGGAGGGAGTTCATCCGGAACGAATTCTCATTTCCCATACGAATACTATCCCATCGCTCCAATTATTGGCCTGCCTCCAGTGAACCAAACTCGCCTTATCGGTGATTTGGTTATTCTCGATTGCGAGTTGGGTGCCACAAGACATCCGAACAATGGACCAAACGGGAACTCGAATATCCGTTCAAATCAAGGCTCAGATTGGACAGTCACGTGGCAACGTGCTACTTTGGCCACAGAAGGTATAAGTGAGCAATTGGATTTTACTCGGTTTGTACATGAACAACGCTACAGTCTGTTACCCGGTGGAAGTTTGCAAATTTTTAACGCTCAACTACCAGACACAGGGGCCTATACATGTACTGCTCAAACTTGGGTTCAGCCGGATCCAACTACACCGAAACAGTCGGCCATTCTGTTACAGTCCAATTGGACTGTTCAGTTGAATGTAGTCCCTGTGGGAAGTGCCATTCATTCGGATCAGGGACGTGAAAATCCATTGTCTCCACCACGAGATCTCCGTGTGACCAACGTGACTGAGTCGACAATCACACTGGCTTGGGAATCATCCAACTGGTTGGAGCCTTTGTCCAATCCCATGGATCCGAATAATGAGGCTACCGCAACCGGGAACGGAATGATCACTTACTGGGTGGAATTTTATCGACCGGATCGAGCCACAGAAGGTTGGCGTACGGTTGAACAAAACTGGCCGGCAAATACCGTACAGATTGGTGGACTGCAACCAAACACAGCCTACTATTTCCTAATTCGGCCGCGTTGGCGATTTGGACGTGTTGGATGGGCCAGTGCACCGTTGGGCCCTGTGTTCACAAAATCCACACAACCGGTACAAATGGGGCAAAGTCAGATGAATTTTCTGTCAGACAAAGAATTACTTCAAGCTGTGCGAAATGTGGAGATCAATCGCATTTATTTGCATCCAATTTCACCCAAACGAATGCGTGTCAGTTGGACCGTTCACGCACGTCCCAATGTGCTTCAAGCAATCACGGGTTATACAATCTATTATCGAAAAATCAATCTGATGCAGTGTGTCCCAGCTAGTTTGCAAACAGTGGATGACCGCATGATTTCGACCGATATGAGTGATTCTTATTGTAGTTTACGACCTCTACCCGACGGGCAATCGATCGATTTATATCGACAACTGCAAAACATGCAACGATTACGTCATGAACTGTTACCAGCCCCATCGGAGACGCGCATGCATTTGGATGTGAAAGCCAGTTATCCGTTGGATGCATCTGGTTCCGTATCGACTGGACCAGTGACCTATGAGGGTTCCGGTTTGTTACGCGATCTGGATCCGTTTCAATGTTATGAAGTGAGTGTGAAACCACACTCAACGGATACGCTGTTTGGTCGGACTGAAGGACGAGAAAGTGTGACACATACCGCACTGACATTTGAAAACTTTCCAAGTCTTCCACCGGAACGTGTTTCTGCCCGCTGGATCGGTCCATACGAGCTGGCCTTGAGTTGGTCTCATCCACCGGTTGCACATTGGAACGGTCTACTCCGAGGTTATACAATATATGTTTATGATGAATTAGCGCGGGAGCACCAGACGTTCAATGTGTCAGCAACGGAACAGGCCACAGTTATCAAGGGTCTTAGTGGACCAAATGCCTATCTCATTCAAATGGCTGCTAGTACGTGCAAAGGGGTTGGATTGCGTAGTAAACCTTTACGCCTAGATCCGAGTTTGCGTGGTCAAATTGGATTAGGTGTGGGCTGGGGTTTTGATCCAAACACGGGTCTTCTCGTCTCAACTCCAGTGCCAAATGAAACACATTCGGACGAAGGTGGTGGCGGTGGACGACTCATCCATAAACCATGGTTCATCGGTACAATGATTAGCAGTTTGCTGTTGTGGTTTGCTTTGATAGGCTTAATCACATTCTGTTGTCGTCGTCAACCATATGTGTTTCGTAAAACTACCGGTGGTGTCCTTATTGCGAACACATCCTCCCATTGTGGAACCGGATCGGGGAACGGAATAAATGGAATGAATAATGGCGGAACATTGATGGACGGATTGGGTACAACGCATGCAAACGGTAATACAACCGGACTGAACCGATATGGTAAAGAAAAGAATTGTCCCCTACAAATGGAACCGCTGATTCAAAAACCGGCTCCGACAAAGACAACCGAAGCCACCGAGTTAGATGGAAGCTCGACAAATGCGGCTTACACACCTCAAAACCCTTTCCTCAGTTCTCCAGAATCTTCCATAGCCACGACCACTTACGGAGTGTATTCACTCACGCACACAACTGACTTGCTACGAACCCAATGGTCCGGAAGACCTACAGAGGTACAGAATCGTGGGGCAAATATGGGATACCCCCCTATAATGGAAGAGACGAATGTTCCTTATGCTACGGCGAACAACCCTATGCATGGTCATGGGAATGCTATGAGAACCGACTCGTTGCCACCAAATGTGCAAACAAATCCATTACTTTTCCATCCGACCGGACATCTTATAAACTACCCTATGGGCGTTTGTCCACCCCAGTCCACACCAGCTTATCTCACATACCAACCAGGCATGGTTCCACTATCCCAGTCCATTTCCGAATTTCCTAGTCCCGAGGTGAACAGGGATCAGAATTATGGTGGCACTGCTCCCGTCCTGTCCCAGGGACCTGCAGTGCCGACAACCACAGGTCTCCCACCGATTGCTCCGGTTGCACAATTGGGTCATGGTGGAGCACGAATTTCACCACCATCGGTCATTGAGAGTGTGGAATCGGGGGCGTCCGTAGCACCCTACGCTACTGCATCGATCATCCAAAATTCTATGCTACCTGATCGTAATCGCACTTCTGCCGATACCGCTGGCTTTCGATCCGGTTTGACCACGACGAATGGGATGACCAATGAAAACGTTTGCCAGAATGACAAAGTTTCCTACAGTTCCGGGGATAGTAATCGTTCATACTCGAACAATTCGGAGGCCAGTCGTGCAAATATGACATCACATCGTGACAATATCCTGATTTACGGTCGTGGAGAGGGTTATACAAATGGTGGTGGCTATCCAACTCAAGAGATGCGCGGAAGAGCTTCAACCCCGGGGAAATCACCAAACCCTCTTCTTTCCTCCCGTACAATATCATCCAATCCAAGCAAATCGGAGTCAAATGCATCGACCAGTACACGACTCAGTGGTGGACAAAGTGTTGGGGACCGTTCAGTTGTGTGGCCCAATTCTCCCTCCAGTATGGCTAAGGTCACCGGGATAGATAACACTGAGTTATCCACCAGTGGTTACCGGCAGAATAATGAAGATGTCTATTCCTTAGCTGATGACAGTGGCATTCCACCTCCCCCAGCCTCTCCACCACCACCAGCTCCTATCCATGGCCGAGAGAAGCATTTTGACCCCAACGAATCCTATTCGGCTTCGCGTAACCCTATACAGGACGAAGCAAACCAGTCCATCTACGATATGAATGCGGAAACGAGTGAAGATGACATACCCATGACCACAGGTTCCAAAATACCTACATCTTCCTATATTGGATTGCAAAATCAACCTCGACCAAATGGTCCACACAGACATTCTGGCGGAAAACGAACAAGACGTGGCAAGAACGGGGAGGAAAGCGCAAATATGACCGGGTTTTGTGTGATCCGACCACCGGAAGAGCAACAAAACACTACATACGCTCAGGTGTATTAGTGTTTGGTGTACAAGACATTTTTTGCGCTGTCCCATTGCCACGTGAATATTTCAACCACCTGTGATCCCACCAATCCCTTTCTGTGTAACACCTAAGGACTTCATCTCACATGATTTCTTGTACATATCTACCAACTCCCCAGGCTCCTTATGTAAAAAGTATTCCGAATTTCTAGGCACGTAGCCTTTGTTCAATATCCTAACGTACTTGGTTCTCCGTTTGAACTCTTCTGTTGTCTCTCTTTCACGTGATTGATGAAGTGGAATCTTGTCCGCTCTCNGATCTCCCTATCTGAACAACTCTGACCCGGAAACAGAGGGAGGCAGAGATTAACCTTCCTATTCAAGTTCATCTGTCGGTTTCACAAAATCTCGCCTGTTCGCAATGTCTATGATTCCTGTCCCGTCCCGTCCCGTCCCGTCCAGCCCCGACCCCCCACCCCACCCCGAACCGCTGTCTACACTCGGAACAACCGCATACATACATACATACATACATACATACATACATACATACATACATACATACATACATACATACATACATACATACATACATACATACATACATACATACATACATACATACATACATACTTTAACAACAATTCTCACCTCGTTTGAACAATCGGTCCATTCGAACCGCTACTTTATCTTACCGAGACATACACACCCGGATGGACACAAAATGTCCAAACACTGTTTTGTTCTTTTCCTACTTTATTTTGTTGTTTTGTTTTAAATGTGACCGGGAACGATCTTTCCATAGTTCCACATAATCATCTGCATCCTAATCATCGCCTTCACCATTACCAATTCCTTCTATTCAACAATCCCTCTCTCGTTGTCAGTCTCTTCGTTTGGACACAAATTCAATTGTGCTCGAAAACGCCTGCCTGCTTGTTCGCCGAAACCCTATTTGCCCCGTCGTTCGTTTGTGTGAGCTTGTCTGCTTGCCAGCTTTTACTTCAACAAACACAATAAGCCAGCCACCCAGCAATCCTCAGTTTTCTTTCTGTTCCTTCTCGACGAAAGCCTCCATACTCCATTTGACTGACTGACGGACTAATCTGTCCACAAAATCCTCCTCTGTGCATTTCCACACCTTGTTCTCTTTTATTCATCAGCTACACTCACTCAATCACTTACACCGGTTGGTTGCATGAATCCCGCACTCTCTCCCGCCCTCCCGCTCTCTTTCTGTCTCGAACTGAATATTCATTGAACCAATTCAACTTCCACTCAGGGGATCGAGTTTTGCGACAGTTTCTGACGATAGATCGGAAGATGATACTATCGAACCACAAATAACTACATCTATATATATACACATATATGTATACATCCATACACAAAATCAATTTAGTGAATATGAATACCATTAAAAAGCGAATTCCTTGACTTGTATTGCTTTATAGGCAATCCGAACATAGCAGCATTTCAAGTGGCATGAGATAGGCCGAGTGAGGCTCTATATCTCTTAGACTATATGCCAAAAACCTAGTTTGTTGAAGTAGTTTATTATTTTCTGGAGGGGAAATCATTAGTATTATTATTATTAGTAGTAGTAGTAATGGTAGTATTAGCATTATAATTCCGCTGGGCGATACTCGGTCGAGGATAGTTGTTTAATTGCAGATTACAGTTGGGATATCAATAATATGGCATACATATAACAACATAGCTCATTTGAAACAAATCATCAAAATTGCAAGCAGCACACAGGGTAATGAGTGGAGCAGACTGTAGTTACTCTTTGGGACATAGCAATTCGCCCTCAGTGGTCTTTTTCATTTTTGAACGGTGAAGGAATCCACCAACCGCATTATTATGCATACTACTCACTACCTCACAGTAGTAGTAGTAGATGTCATTCACGTTTTAGTACGATCGCAGTGGGGCAGGTTGAGCTTCTTAATTTTGGGTCGAGGGAGTTGAGTTATTGAATTGGCTTCCAGTTGTTCAGATTACAGCGGACCTTTAACCCGCTGCGTAAAGCTATTTCACTCGGATGGTCGGCGATTTTAATCATTCATGTTTGTCAAAGTCAAAGTTTTATTCTGGGCGATTTAACGAAGCTAAAGCATATCATGCCCCATAGGATTTTTACATAACCTTTTGAATGACTTTACAAAGAGAAAATAATAATAATGACAACATGCATGACCACTCACGGATGTCGAAATTTTAAGTGTTCCAATGCCTTATCAAGTTGCGATTTAAATAGTTCCACTTTAGGAGCACACACTACATCGAATGGAAGAGCATTCCATACGCCGCACAATCTGACTGCAAATGAGTGATGCCGGCAGTCAAAGTGGCTGTTCTGGGTCTTCACCTTTAGCAGATGTCCCCTGAGGTGATCATTATGAGATAAGGTCAGCATAGAACGGCAAGGGCGGTTGGGTTGATGCAGTATGTGATATGCCAGGATTAGGTCCTCCCGAAGTTGGCGGTATTGAGATGAGTGGAGTCTAAATTTTTACAGTCTTGTTATACATACCTTTTACCAATTTTGTTGCCAGCCTTTGCGGACGTTCTAGAGCCTTCTCATCTCGGTTCAGCCATGGATTCCATACCTGAACGGCGTACTCCGTGTGTGGCCTAATGAACGCTGATAGCACGCGTGGGAACAGTGCTCTTTCGAACTGCCTGTAAATACGTCTGATTAGTCCAACTTGCTTTAGGGTCATGGGTGATGCTCTGGCACAGTGCGTGGAACATCCTACGTCCTCCTATACCATAACTCCGATATCCCTTTCATCAGTGGCGTGCGGTAGTATTTGGTTCCCAAGAACATAGGAGAAATGAGTCTTGTGCCGTATGGAAATAACTCTGCATTCGGAAACTTTGAACCTGATGTCATTGGCGATTGATCATCAGTAGGCTGCACCGATCGTTTTTTGGAGTGCTATATAATCCTCTGGATGTGTTACAGTTCTCCAGATCTTAGCGTCATCCGTAAATAGCAGTGTATTAGGCCCAAGAACATGTGGCAGGTCGTTTATAAATGCAAGAAAGAGACGAGGCCTCAGCACGGATCCTTGAGGAACCCCTCGAGCAGCGGTGATAGGCTCTGATAATGAATCACCTACGCGAACTGAAGTGGTTCTTTGTCGGAGAAACTCTTTGATCCAGTCCAGAACCAAACCTCTTACTCCGTAGTTGTATAGTTTTCGCAGTAGTTTTTGGTGGTTTACTCGATCAAGTGCTTGGGAGAATTCCAAATAAACTATATCCAATGGCTGGCCTGCATCGACGGATTTTGTCGTCCGTGCAAGAAGTAGATTTTTGGTGCACGAGCGCTTTTACCGGATAGATTTCGGAGGTAAAAGGTGGCATGCTTTAGAAGACCGGATAAGTATTAGTGGGTCTGCAGAGCTGTGGTGACATTCCTTATAATTGATATTTGTTTATAGATATGGTGTTTTATTTCAGAAGGTTGATAGAACATCGCTTGAGATTTTCACACCCGTCATTATCTGCTAATCGATGACAACGTTACAGTTTTGCTTTTTACTTCATAAGATAGATAAAGTTTGGAGCTTTTCGGTAACCTCTTTCTTTGGATAAATAGTGATTCCTCGATGAGGATAGCGCTATTTCACCAAAAGGTGTTTATTCTGAAGTTCAGTCCTATTTCGACCATACGATGGACAATTCACAACGTTCGAAATTGAGTTTTGAAAGGTAGCTTGTGTTGCAAGATGAGATGCTTTATTGTCTAGATGGTCAACCCAAGAACCTTAAAAATACCGCATGCCAATAACTGGATCTGTGAAGGAATGCTTTGATTACCCACGTTGAGAAAGAAACAAAAAAGCAAGTTTTTTAGACTGTTTCAGTACTACTGCTAAGAATTCATTACATTCTGTTGTGTACAAGGATGTCTAATACTCGGTCAATGGTTGTATGCACAGAGTGTTGCAATCAGCTGCGTTAAGGAAACATTATTATGGTCATGTTTGTGATGACCGACAAAGACCACTGGACAGCTGTTTCGTCCTGTTTGGAACTCGTCATCAGTGCGTACATTTTTGTGTCCCTGTCAGGACTCGAATCGCGAACATTCAGGTTGGGACTTCATACTCTTTCCGCTGAGCTACACGGTCGACGATCATCACCTTGTGCGAATGACTCAATCAATTTAGAGTATCATTTTTGGATTAGCCCATTCGATTGTTCAGAGGCACCAGCCACTGTCGACGCTCTTGGCTGTGGGTTTCCCTCCTTGGGAGATCGCCAGTTCCCCACTAGTTTAGTGCATTTGAAAACAGGGACACAAAAATAATACGCGCACTGCTGACGAGACCCAAAAAGGACGAAACAGCTGCTTTGTCGGTTATCACACAACCATTTCCATCGTGTTTGAATGCATTTACCTGGTGTGGAATCAACAATCTCCAAAGGAGTGATACCCACACTCACGACTATCAAGAGTGCCCGGTGTCTGTGAACAATGGAATGGGTTAAATTATCATGATCACTTTTTCACTAGCTGCACGAAGACAGTACTCCGAACTTGTGCCCTACGATCAATCACATGTGATCTAACAAGAGTGGGTTGTGACAGATGCATCACCCGATGAAGACTGGTTGAATATCTCACTACGGTGAAATTCAGTTCTCTGGTGATATCACTGGATATAAGCAGACGAGTGCAGCACCAATCTACATTGTTGTTGGTGAATGAGGATTGTGTACTGTGGGAATCTGCAAACGGCTTCCTGCTTTTTCTACACTACACTTTCCAGTGTTCATCCACAAAATGTGAAGCTCAAATTCAGTTGCAGCAAGATGTAATTTTTGCCTTGGACAATTTCTGATGAATTGTTCGCTGACTGATTGATGACTAGTTAAGAAGCGACCCATGAAAATAAAATGAAATTCCGCACACACAATTTAGAATGTGATTTATTTGTTAGTTCTTTCTAGCCTCCGGGTCGCTCTCCAAATGGACCCGAATTGCAACTCAGTACGAGAGTTCCTGAAGTAGTTCT